CAATGACCGCCAAAGTGTCGGCCGCAGCCTCTAGCTGCCGTGACAGCTTCGGGAGACCAAGTCTCGCACTGGATTGCATGCCAGATCCCATCGATGGGATTCTGCGACATCTTGGACTTGTACAATGCTTGCGTCGGGGTTGAGGTCTGAGGGTCAGTGTCACTTAAAGGAAGGAGCAAAGCAAAATCGAAATTCCAAGAGCCGTGGTCCCAATTGCTCTTGAGACTCAGATCTTCCCGTGCACATACCCTCTTGTAGCATTGATCCATTGACTCCTCCATGTGGTGGCAAGTGAAGACTGCGAACGAAAAGGCCCGTGACCACAAGCACCGAAACAAAACAGAGATCCCGTATTTGCTGGTTCGGCCCTCAGCCACCTTCACATGCCACCGTCGTACGGAGTACCGGAGCTGATGCTGAAAGAAAACGGGAACCTCCTTGTCTTCCATCAGGACCCTGAATACGACCGTGCCGGGCGACGTGTCGGACATCAGCATCTTCTCCTCCTCACCCACGAACGAGCGGACTCCTTCATCAACAGGCCGTGATTGAATCGCTGCCAGCCTTGTTCTGCAAGCAACTTATGGCTTGAGCATGCCACTGCCACCTGTGGTCAGACAGAGACCACCCATCTTCTTTGTTTATCGTGGGGAAGGCCGTACTGACCCGAGTATGCGAAAGTGGGAGGCTTGCATCCCGCATGGGACTGCAGTCTTCACAAAGAACGCTATCGGCTAGCGCCGGCCCTCATCGATGGCGCACCACGACAGCCACGGATGTCTTCCATGGCTCTTAGGCGGTGACATAGAACAATCTGCCGTAAGCACACACTTGCACCGCACATGACCAAATGCTAACATGTCGAGACGTGCCCAGGGCTGAAACGCAAAAGCGGCAAATTCTCGTCCGTGGCCAAGTGTTCTGGGGCTTCCCTGCAAGGTCTGCGAGGCACACTGGATTTCGGGTAAATATCAACGGATACATATATATATATATGTATGTAATGTATTTATTCATTTTTAATCCGCTTATGTTTTTTATAACTGGACCCAGCGCTCAGCCTTTGCTCTGCCACGCGAGCAGTCTCGCAGTAGACCTCCGATGCAACGCAGGGCTTTGACATCTTCAGATAATGTACTTGCAATGGTGATAGCAACAGTAATAGTACTAGCGATGGTGGTAATAGTAGTAGCAACAGTAACAGCCATAGCAATGGGAATAGTAGGGTAATAGTAACAGTAACAGTAATTGTCATGGTAAAGATACTGGTAAACGTCACGGTATTAGTAATGGTAACAGTAGAGTGCACGCCCCTAATGATCCAAGCACGTGCATCTCTGAAGAAGTTTCGGAAGAACATGTGGAGTAGCTTTTTAGGGATGCGAAGTAGCCAGGGCCTGGCTAGCAAGATCTATTCGGTCCATTGAAGGCCTCAGGTTTTGAGCTTACGGTCCTATACCCCTACAAGCCCTAAAACCCATGGACCCTAAACCACGCTATAATATACTCTTACTTTACTATAGTGTACTTCTTCAGCCCTAAAATAGGGCTTAGCGCCACTTCTCTGAGCCTTGGCAAGGTAGCGCTGGCAAAGTCTCACCTCCGAAGCTGGAGCCTCCCAAAAGTTGCATGCAAAGGGGAGATACCAGGGTGGTTGTCAAAATTCGGGTCCCTTGTTGAGCCCCTATTATAGTACGGCACCTATTATTCAGAACCTTAATTTTGACAACCACCCAAAAGGTTAGTACTTATAAGTACTCATAGGTCATACCGTAAGATAACCATGAGGTACACCATAAGGTTACTACGACAAGGCCGGAGATAGATTACAAGGTCATTTACTTGCAAGTTATCATAGGGTTGCTATTTTACTAGGTATACCATAAGAAGGTTACTGCAGTGAGGTTGCTGGAAAATAAAGTTCTTGTTTTACTATGCATACCCTAATAAGGTTACTGCGGTGAGTTGTTTCTGGAAGTATACTATGCAGTGTTATGACTTGTTTGAGGTCAGCTCTCGCTCTCCTAATCGAGACTATCTAGACCCAAGAGTAGCCTAGGAATAAAAAGAGTGCCCTTTTTGGTTTAAAGGGTGTTATAAGGGAACCTAAACCCCAAAACAAGGGAATAAGAGCCTACTCTGGGTCTTGGGAGATTATAAGGATCAAATGGTCAAGGGCTTGAAGCAGCAGGCAGCAGTACGGGAATGAAAATGAAAACGGCAGAGACGAGGAATTCAATGGTTGGCCGTAGCAGCGGGCGGCGCACCGTGAATAGCTGATCAGAAAAGCAGGCGCCTAGCCTCTGTGACTGCAGAATGACGATACGTAGTCGCCACGACACTTGCTGTTGAATCACAGCTTTGCTGGCTGGATTGCCCGGATGACTCTGCTGTTGCTCAGCTACAAGTGCTGAAAATACAAGATGCTGCGGCCATCAGCTACTTAGACGAGCGGCCCCTTCAGACCCAAAATGCTGCATCTTGACTGGCAGCAGCTGCATGCGACGTTGCGAATTTGAAACGGGGCCTCCTTCTTGGGCATCTGCGCCTCATGCCTGCAAACACGATCGTGTTTGGAAAAAGCTCACCCTTCCAGTCACCTTGGTGTGTCCTCATCCCACCTGCATTTGCGGAATATAATCGATCAGCCTTGCGACACAGCTCGGAGGGCAATGCTTGCGACACATTGCAGATATACTGAAACCCCACATAGTGGACCCACATTTTGGAACGTTGCACCTCCCTGAATCAGGACCAACCACACTTTTTTGCATGAAGGGCTGTCCAATGTAGCGGTGTAGATACATCTGTGGTAACAGCTGGCATGCGCCTGCGAAGTATCGACAAAGCCTGCGCATGCATGTGCAAAACTCCCCGGTCTCGCTGAGTCTCGCTCCTTGAAAGAGAACCGGCAACGACTCTACTCCGAATCGCATCTGGGAAAGAGTTCCGGAGTGTTGAACGACAACATGATGATCGCCGAGTTATCTGCCGTCCAAGCTTTGCCAGCGGCTTCAAGTACGGTTTTCGCAGCAATGTCCGAACACCAGTTCCTTAAAATCTTGCGGGTGGTTCTCACGGCCAACTGCTCGCGAATCGCATCCCAGACCCCGTCGGTCACCAGAAGGACGAGCTATGTAGCGATCCTACAGAATTCGTCCTTTTGGCGACCGGCGGAGTATGGGATGCAATCCGACAGCAGCTGGGCTGCGACAGCCCCTGGATCCTCACCCGAAGTCAGAAGTACAAAGGATGCCGGGCACTTTCCTGGCAATTGAAGTTGCAAGTGCTGTTGAGAAACTTTTAGAGGTATTGCACGACACGGTGAAAGGTGGCTATGCGGGTGGGAGAGTTTCCCCTTCCACGCAGCCACCATGCACACTGACACCCAATTCCTCCTAGCGCTTCTTCCCGTTCTCGATCTTTTCTTGGCTGTGGTCGGTAGTCTTTGGCTCTGCGGAGCCGCCACAAGTCTGCACTCGCATGCATTTAGGACCCGACCCGTCCTCTGGCACGGTCGTGTGTGAAGCAACCAAGGCCGCACAGACGACCGTGCCGGAGGACGGGACGGGCATCGGCATCTTCTCCTCCTCAAGCAACATCGAGCAGAGGCGATCATCAAGGGCCGTGAATGCATCACTACCGACCTGCTTCGTGCAGCTGCAAATGCTGATAAAGCTGCTCGGGCAGCAGCTGCTGAGCCAGCCTTGTCGCCTTATCTCCGTTCCGGTCGTTCTTCGCCGGAGCAAAGCCATAGTCTTCAGCTCCACCGCTGGCATCCTCAGGCAAGGCCGCAGGCCCTGTCTCAGGCCGTTTCTCAGGGACAGCGCTCGATCTTGCAGCCCCAGAGCCATGGGAAACATGACCTGTGGCTGGTGTGGGGCACCCCACAGCAGCCACAGGTCATGTTTCCCTTGGCTCTGGGGCGGCAAGATCGAGCGCTGTCCCTGTATAGAGACGTATCCACGTCTCAGGATGAGAAAGCAGAGCTGCAGGAGTCGCAATAGTGATGGCCCTGCATGGATGCTACTTCTCAGCCTGACTAACTTGATTCGCACTGCTATTTCCAGGGCCAGCATCCAAGGCAGAGGAATCGCGCAAGGGAAAGGTGCAGAGAAGCTGACTTTTGTGGGACTTCACTGCTAGGTTTGCGACGCTTCGTGTAACTGGGTCCCAGCCTTCGCTCCGCAACGCCTGCAGCCTCGCAACGGGCCTCCGATGAATATCTGGGGTTTAGTGCTTGTCAGAGTGCTGAGATGTTGGTTGAGTGTCCAGGACTCCACCACCTGGGGTTGTAGCATGAAGCTGCCTGCATCTTCGCGCCAAGTGCTAAATCTTACGACATTCTTACGACCATGAACTTGCAAGTCGTATTGCATTTCCTCGTCCTGAGAAGTGGCGAAGAAAACACCAACACTAACAACGGCCGCTTCCAGGGCAGGCTATGCGAAGGTCTGCTAACTGTCTTGGTTCCTCCTCCTGCTGGTATGGCAGTTTAGGCGTAAAAAGTAGGAATACGCTAACTAGACCTAGCCCTAGAGCGGCCAGGCAGGAGACTTGCTGGTGAATCGTGTCTTTGAGTATTCGGTTGCTCGCTTGATTCTGCTGTTGCTCAGCTGCTGCTACTGGCAGCAGCTGCATGCGACGCTGCGCACTTGGCAACTGCACTTAGAAACTTGGAAACCAGGCCTCCTTCTTCGGCGTCTGTGTCTCATGCCTGCAAAATACGTGTTTTCCGCCAAAAAAAGCTGACACTTCCAGTGAGCGAGACTGTGTCAAACGTCTTGACATCTTGATGCATCTTAGTCTCCCCTGCGTTTGCGACACAAAGCAGATGAGCCTTGCGAAACAGCTCGAACACCCCAATCACACCAACAAGCTGGTGAACAACAGCACTTTTGCTTCTGCGCCTTCAAATGTGGCGGTGCCGATACCTCCTGGAACAGCAGGCATGCGCCTGCGAGGTATCGACAGATCATGCACATGAAAAATTTCCGGTCTCACTCCTTCTTGGAAGAGAACTGGAAACGACGCTGCTCGGAATCGCGTTTCGGAAGGGGTTCTGGCATGTTAAACGACAAGACAATTACCGCCGAATTGTCTGCCTTGGAAGCTTTGCCAGCAGCTTCAAGTACTGCTTTCGCAGCAGCTTCCGGAGAGCGAGTTTCCCTCAGAACCTTGCGGGCGGTGGTCACAGCCAGTTGCTCCCGAATCGCATCCCAGACCCCGTCGGTCGCCAAAAGGACGAATTCTGTGGTATCTTGGATACTCACAACGCTGACGTCAGGGGTGCAGATGATTCCGGGCACTTTCTTGCCTGTCTGGCCAATGTTGCCAAGTGCTCTTGACACCTGAATTTGTCCATCCACATAACCGCCATCCACACAAACCCCCAGTGTCTCCAAGCGCTTTCTTTCCTGGTCGTTCTTCTCGGGGCTGTGGTCCGTCGTGTATGCCGCTGCGGTGCCGCCTTCACTCGCCACAAGTCTGCAGTCGCCCGCATTTAGCACGAGGATCTCCTTGCGCGCCACTAAGGCCGCACAGACGACCGTGCCGGAGGACGTGTCGGGCATCGGCATCTTCTCCTCCTCAAGCAACATCGAGCAGAGGCGATCATCAAGGGCCGTGAATGCATCAGTACCGGCTTTCTTCTTGCAGCCAGCCTGCTGCAAATGCTGATGTAGCTGCTCGGGCAGCAGCTGCTGAGCCAGCCTTGTCGCCTTATCTCCGCCGTGGCCATCGAAGACTGCGAAGAGCTTGTAGCCAGCTACATCCTCATTGACAGCTACCGCATCTTCCATCCTCTTCCGGTCGTTCTTCGCCAGAGCAAAGCCATAGTCTTCAGCTCCACCACTGGCATCCTCAGGCAAGGCCGCAGGCCCTGTCTCAGGCCGTTTCTCAGGCCCTTTGTCTCGTGCCCCACAGCAGCCACAGGTGTTTCCCATGGCTCTGTGGGGCAAGATCGAGCACTGTCACTGTATACCTAAGAATTCGGCCTAAGAATACACAGTTGACGAACACTTGGAGACCTGTCCAAATCTCAGGATGAGAAAGCAGAGCTGCAGGAGTCGCAATAGTGATGGCCCTGCATGGATGCTACTTCTCAGCCTGACTAACTTGATTCGCACTGCTATTTCCAGGGCCAGCATCCAAGGCAGAGGAATCGCGCAAGGGAAAGGTGCAGAGAAGCTTACTTTTGTGGGACTTCACTGCTAGGTCTGCGACGCTTAGTGTAACTGGGTCCCAGCCTTCGCTCCGCAACGCCTGCAGCCTCGCAACGGGCCTCCGATGAATATCTGGAGCTTCGTGCTTTTCAGAGTGCTGAGATGTTGGTTGAGGGTCCAAGACTCCACGGGGGTTGCAGCATGAAGCTGCCTGCATCTTCGCGCCAAGTGTTAGATCCTAGGACCATCATTAAAACCTCGCTTGAAATACAAGCTGTGTTGATTCAGCGCCCTGAAGCCCCGTGTCCCTACCAAGGGTGACACTACCTGGATCTGCGAGGACGGAGTGTGTATGGGTCTGAGACAATGTGAGATCCGAAGTCTGATGGTATTTTCCTTGAGACTACACTGTTCTCATGACCGAGTGCGGCTCACCCGTGCTGAACTCTATGCCTCTATGCTGCAACACTTGGCCGCGCTGTGTGTGTGTGTGTGTGTGTGTGTGTGTGTATGTATGTATGTATGTATGTGTGTTTATAAATATATGTGTATGTATATATATATACGCATATATATAATATAATATAATATAATATAATATAATATAATATAATATAATATAATATAATATAATATAATATAATATAATATAATATAATATAATATATACACTGTATATACGTTTCAGGAAACTAACTGTCTGTCTGACTGGCTGCCCAATGCGAAACAACGTCTGAAATTATGCAGCACAAGTGGCAGCAGAGTAGTAGCAGTATAGTAGTCACTGGTCTGAAGGAAGCAGCGAAAGAATGGCTACGAATAGCAATGGCCTCTTCAGGGGCAGGCTCTGCGAGGGTCTGCTCACTCTCGTGCTTCTCCTCGCTGGCAGGGCGGTCCAGGCGTTGGACATCATGGCTTGCGAGAAGAGCAGAATCATGGACTGCGGGGCCAGCATAGCCTATCACCGCCAGAGCCTCAATAGTTAGTATATAATAGATGTTTTCGGCCTCCTTCACACTTACAACCAAAAGGTAAGATGAACCAAATCCCCCTATCCTTGTCATCACACCTGTCTTGTGCCCCCTAACCTCGAACGCCCACCATGCCACTTAACTCTCCTTGAACCCCAGATTCCTCATGTCAAACTTCTGTCATGGGCCCCCAGGTACCGTGGCTCCTGCTCATGCTTGCTCAGCATAGCAAGAAAAGGGTCCTGAAGACACGATTCGAACAACAAAGGAGACGCATTGAGTTTGAGTCCTCTGGATTTTCGGTTTGCGGGATTTGCGGACTAGAATTTCTGAGCCTTCACGAAGGTTCAACAAAGGACCCTGGCTGGGCTTCAGGTGCGGGGCCCGGGCAATCGACTGAGTGCCGTAATGCGTGCATGAGGTTCTCTAAATTCAAGTTCCTTTCCAAATTAGGGTCCAGGGTAGGGTCCTTTTTCATAAGGGTGCCGTACTGTTTCGGGGACCTAAACAGGGACCCTACATTAGCTCTACTGTGCACAGCGGCTGACTCCTAGTTTCGATGGTGTGCAATTCTGGGAAGACTACAGGCTGCGCAACCATCGCGGAATCTCGACTTTTCTGATGAGGGTTTAGGGTTTTAGGGTTTGGGGTTTAGGGTTTTAGGGTTTAGGGTTTTAGGGTTTAGGGTTTTAGGGTTTCGGGTTTAGGGGATTAGGGTTTAGGAGTGCAGCAACACAGCCAATCACCTCAACGATCAGGATCCCGTAAGCCAGAGAAGCCAGTGTCACAACGGAAGATAGCACAATAAAACTTCCCTGGCCGCGGCTCGCCGTGAGACTTTCAACAGACAACAAGTCGAGCCACAATGCTGAGTTCAAATCCTCGAGATTTCGCCGCTAACGTTTCAACCTGCCGAGAAGACAGCTTGATCTAATCAACCCCAAAGCCCTACAAAGACTATAAACCCTAAACCCTGACCCCTAAACCCTAAAGTAAAACCCTCAACCCCTAAACCCCTAAACCCCGAAACTCTCACAGCCCTTCATGGCAAAGGTCATCTAAAAAGCTAGACCCCCGTTTAGAACCATGACAAAAGTAATATGTTTAATATTCTCTTGGGTTTTATGTGAACAAAAATTAAAATACAAATCCTACCTAGTTGCTGGGTTCATAAGCCCCCAGAAATGTACACTTTCAGTTCTATAGTGGATAATATTACACCAAAAATAGTGTAAGGTGTATCCATTTAGCTACTAAGCCTAAGGAGACTATAGACAAAGGTCCTCCGTCTCAAAGCTATAACCCTTAGAACCCAAATAAACAACAATATGTTTTATACTGTCTTGGGTTTTATATGAATTGAAATACAAAATAACTCCTAAGGCTAAACCCTAAACCCTAAACCCTCAACCCTAAACCCTCAACCCTCAACCCTAAACCCTCAACCCTAAACCCTAAACCCTATAAACCCTAAACCCTCAACCCTAAACCCTAAACCCTCAACCGTAAACCCTCAACCCTAAACCCTCAACCCTAAACCCTCAACCCTAAACCCTAAACCCTCAACCCTAAACCCTATAGGCAAAACCCTAAACCCTCAACCCTAAACCCTATAGGCAAAACCCTAAACCCTCAACCCTAAACCCTCAACCCCAAACCCTAAACCCTAAACCCTCAACCCTAAACCCTAAACCCTCAACCCTAAACCCAAGGTCCTCCATCTCAAAGGTGGCCGCTTCCGAGTCGACGAGACTTGGGTCGGTAGAAGCCTCGTCGATCGAAACTACAGGGTTCCTTTAAGGGTTCCTTTAAGAACACATGGGTAGTTGTCAAAATTATGGCCCCGTTTTGGGTACCCTAAATATCAGGTGCCGTAGGAAAATATGGACCCCAAAAAGGGACCCTAATATTGACAACCACCCACATCGGATTTGCATGGGCTTCTTGCTTTTTTGAGGTGCGTGTCGGTCTTTTGCTCTCGCTGCAAAGGGTTTAGGCTTTTCCGCTAAACAAGTCTAGGGTTTAGGCTTTTCGGGTTGGGATGTTTGGGGTTTAGGGCTTACCTCCAAGTAGTCTTCGAGTCCACCGGCAGTAGGAGGTAGGGGCCCGGTGGTCTTTCATTTGGGCCACAGATCCCAAGCCTGTGCCTGTCAGAACCGCCCCTAAACCCTAAACCTTAAACCCTAAACCCTAAACCTTAAACCCTAAACCCTAAACCTTAAACCCTAAACCCTAAACCCTAAACAGCAGGACCACTTGCGAGCAATGTGGTCTTGATGGCAATCAGGCGAATGAAGAAGCACAACATACGTTATCGTACGATGACACGAAAGCAATCGAGATCAGCATGAAAGTTCACAACTAACGCTAGGAAGCCAAATGATCCTGAGGCTAAGGTTAGACATGCCCTGCACCTGTACAAAGTACGAACAAGTCATACCAGGGTGAACCGTCGTGATGTAGTGATTGGGAAACGAATAAACCTGATCTCGGCAGTTCGCTGACTACTTCAGCAACCCTTTTCGAAGTTTTATAGCCATTGCTGTTCGAATCCCTATTAACATCCTCATTAAGGAGAACTAAAATCCTTATTAAGGAGAATTAAAACCCTTATTAATAAGGAGAAGGGTTTATGCATCAGGGGACTACATTGCGGTTGATTCTCCAGTTTCTGCCTGCGGCAGCTCGGAGGCAGCTCGGCCGTCCAACAAGGCCTGCAGAAAGTCGGGCCTTAACAATGTTAGGGCCCCAAAAAAGCACATAAGCAAAAATTAGGATAGGGATATCCCATATAAACCCCCCTTATAATGAAGCCAATAAGGTAGGGATATCCCCATACAATGCTTATGCTTATGTGCTTTTTGGGTCCCTAAAATGTAGGGTTTACGGCTTAGGGCTTAGAATGTTTAAACACGCGGCCGTTTCAAGATTCTACTGATGATTGCTAAAAAACTATGCGTGTTATTGGTATACTGTTACACATTCGAACCCGGTCGCAATTGATACTAACCCGAATACTCGGTCAATATATCCAACGCGACTACTATCAACTTTGCCTAGCAGCCTGTTAAAAGTCAAAACTTACACGTTTGAAAAAAACAACTAAGACTGAGACCGTTGGTGCGAGGATCCTGCCATCTCAAAAATCCCCGTAAAGGCCACAAAGGCCCTTGAACCAGGTGCCCCCAAGTTTGACGAGGCCCTAGAAGCGCAATTTTCCCCCGACCTTCAAACACCATTTATACAGAACCCGTAGCGAGCCCTCAAAAAGGCCCTAAAAAACTCGAACTCTTATGGAACCCCTTTTACAGAACCCTTAGCGAGCCCCCAAAAAAGGCCACCTCTTGCAGGTGCTTCAGCGTGTCCCGTGTGTGCGTCTCCGGCCGCGGCGAGGGAAGGGAAGGTCTCGGCACGAAGACAGGTTCGGGTCACTGGGCCCTCTAAGGGGTTCTTGTCGGTTCTGCAATGCCTCGGGTTCTGGGATTAATGTAGGGGCCCTATCATAGTATACAAAAATTATAATAAGGAACCCCCGACATGCTATTGGCATTGGTAATTGCTTAGGCCCCTATGGTAAGGCTTTGTAGTTTAGGGCATTGGGGCCTGGGGATTTCTTGGGTCTTGGAAGGTGGAGTTGGCCTTCTCAGGTCTTATGGGTTGGAGGACTTGGTTGAAGGGAGCCTCACCGGTATGAAGCAAGACTTGCTAAGGGTGGGCCCACCTTGTTTTTTGGAGGGTTGGGGGGCGCTGAAATATGTCCGAACTTGTCACTACGTCAAAAGATGTTGACTTTGTATTGAAGAGGTGCTGGGGTCTTATAAGCCCTAAGATCACACGTCTTAAACTCACTACTAAACTTACTACTAAGTTCAAGAGCAACGGTTTAGGTGCATGTAGCCCTACGTCATTAAATCTCAAACATTCGTCTTACGTTCAGCTTTGTGCAAGCTCAGGTCTTTTGGTGAGGTTTGGTGCATCGTGCTAGCGTGCAGGCTGCTGCGGGTGTGCACGGTTTCCGGAGTTTCCCAAGGCTCATCGGGTTTCTTCGGCATGTCCAGAAGCGACCGTTGCTCAGGTATGGATTCTGAATCTCATACTGAAGCATCCTGTATTGATGGTGTCACGAGAGGCAAAGGCAGAAGTTGCAAAACCCATGAGCAATCAAACTCGATCAGGTATAGTGCTTTGCGGAACTGAATCAGTCTACATGTCGGGCAACCTGTCGTTCCAATCAGGGGGAAAAATTGGTGGTACCTTGTTCAAGAGGCGTATAATTAGCTGTATAATTACTAGAAAGAGGTTCTTGAAGCGGGGGCATCACCTTCGAATAGGAGCAGTTACCGCCCTGCGCGGCTTGTCCCAGCCGCAGAAGGCGCACAGCAACATTCAAGCCTACTCAACCCGACGTGCCATGCAAATCTGAGCGTGCCACGGCCAGCTAGCTTCGGAGATACTCCCCCGTCGAGACCTCAGCGCTCGCGGACTAGCTAGGCTCGGGGTTGCTTGGCATTATGGCTGTCATATAGGTGCCTCAATAATTAGAATATTGTTTTGGCCCCCATTATACTGTATTTACAGTAAGAGAAGGGGCCCCCCAATAGTATTAGCTATTGGTAATTATTTAGGCCCCTATACTAGCTCTAGAGGGGCTACTGGTATAAGTTAGAGTTTCAGGATTGATCATCTGCTTCAAGGCTTCGGTGGCTTAATGACTTAATGCTGAGGCCGCGCAGCGAAAGAAGAAGTTGGCAGAGCACGATAAACTACACAAAGTAGAACCAGCATGACATGCAGTATAAAGGATATACTGTAAGCAATTTCTGCATCATCTCCTCAAGCCTCAAGCTCTCAACCACATGAGAAGCTTGAATAGCCAAGCCATATAAGAAGCATTGTGCCAAAAACGAAGATCTATTTAACAACGTCTACTGCAACCAGATTCCCATTCAAATCCCAGCGAAATCGAAAATTGAGGCATCCACTCAACGAATGCACCGAGGACCTGCAGGAAGCATGCATACAAACCTGCAGAAGTATTTTGTCATAGCCGCAAGAACCCGTCAGGTCAGAAGTTTGCGTTTCCCAGGTAAGCGCGAACTTGATGTCCAAAGCATATGATATTACATGATATATGAATATTGCACAAAGTTCTTACTACATGTATATATATATATATATATATATATAGTATAAATATGCAGATATGCACACGGATCTATTTGCATTGTATGTATATATGTATATATGTATGTATATTATATATATATACACACATACACATATACACATATGCATAAATACATACATACATACATACATACATACACACATACATACATACATACATACATATGTATGTATGTGCGTACATACGTGCGTGTATATATATATATATATATATATATATACACAGGTATGCATATAATACATATGTATATGCATGTTGTATATGTACATCTAAAGTGGGACATGAGCATGACAAGTTGCAGGGGGGGCTTATGCAGGTTTAGCAGCTGGCGCAGTTGCGGTTCAAGAGTCGGGGCTCCGTGTAGCACAACAGGGCCCGCTTCGGCCGAGGGTTTGCGAGGGGTTTCGGGCTAAGGGTTCAGGGATTAGGGGTTTAGGGTTTAGGGGTTCAGGGTTTAGGGGTTTAGGGTTTCGGACAGCAACATCGTCACGTGGAATGCACGTTGTAGAGGGCTACCGTAAAGACTATGTGGGTACATGGAGCCTTCGGATTTCAAACCCGTGCCGGCCCCAGCCTCCTCGGGAACCTCCGGCGCGTGCGCTGGTGGCCTCATAGGAGCTCGGGCAAGACTTCGCTCTTTGCGAGCCTTTTCGGAAGGCTTAGCTACGGTTCCGGGTTAAGGTTTAAGATGTATCTGTATAAGGTTTACCTTAACCATGACTTATAATAAGGAACCCCAAAAGTGGTAGGCTATTCAGGGTTCAGGTAAGGTCTGGGGTCCAGGCTTAGTGTGGCCAGGCCTTGGGTTTTAGGTTTTACTCTTTCTGAGTGGTTTGGGTTTAGGGTTTAGGGTTTAGGGTTTAGGGTTTCAGTGCCTTTCGGCTCTCTCCAAAGCCCGCCTGCCATCAGAACATCAACAAGGACAGGCCATCAAACATGAGAAGGCACATACACAACAGTCGATAACAATACATGCCAGTATGGGAGGTCTTACACAACAACCCAAGCCCCAAACCCTAAACTCCTAAACTTCTCAACGCCTGAGCATGGCTAGCCAGCTAGGCGGCAGGTGGCTTTCGTCCAGCGACGACAGCAAGGAAAGCATCTCTGCCTGTGGCATTCGCTTCAAACCTACCGTCAAGTTTGCTTGGGATTTCTCTCTAAACTCCTCACCGTAAACCTCCATAAACCATAAACCATATACACATGCAGGCATGTCGCACGGCGCTTGATGGAGATGTGAACAACCAAAACCCTTTTTCGAAAGTGCTCCCCAAAGCAGCGACGGCACATCTGCGGCATTTCTTCTCCGGAAGCGTTCAAAGGGTTTCGGGTCTCGTCATAGCCTAGGCAATCTATATTTGTTGCAGCTTCTGAGGAGGCAGAGACCTGGATTCCTGCAACCAGCAAACTCCCACATGGCTACGACTCAGTCTCCTACCCCAGTAGAACCCTTAACGCTAAACCCTAAACTGTGTAGAACCCAAAGCTCACTCTCCACTGAAGTTGCTACTTGGGGGGTCGGGGGACTTAGTAAGTAGTTAGTAAGTAGACTTATAAGTACCCTAAAAGGGACCCTAATTGGGGTTATGGTACTTATAAGTCCCTAAAATAACCAGTTACTAAGTCCCCCGACCCTCCAAGTACAGGGCTCGGACACTGAAACGTCCTCAGGAGCCGTACTTCGCGCTGGCTTCGAAGCCGAGCCTCGTCTGAAACGACGAACCCAAAGGGTCCAAGGGGTTTAGGGTTTAGGGTTTAAGGTTTAGGGTTTAGGGTATCATTATGGTATATACTTAGACCCCCAAAATACCCTATAAGCATATACCATAATGATACTTGGACTCTTTGGGGAAGGCCCTACTAAAAGACCAAAGAAGCAAAGAAGGTGATAGGGATTTCCTATAGAAAGCCCCTCAATGAAGCCCAGCTGGCAGGCTGAGGCCCTTTTGGCTGAGTTCGAGGAAGATCCGGAGTTTCACGTGTACTAGACTATGGGTGGAGGCCATCTATGAGGGCTCGAGGAAGGTTCTATACCCTAAGGACCCAAAGTAGTGCCTTTTTGGAAGAACCCTAAAGGAAATACCCAAAAGGAACTACTTCGGGGCCTATGGGTTAGGGATCCAGAAGGGTTCTCAGGGTTGAAGATGCCCCCATGCCTGGCCACCAAACCCTAGGGCCCTAGGGTTAAGGAGAATTTGTTGAGGACCTTTTTCCAGCTGCAGTACAGTGGTTTAGGAGTTTAGGGCTTTAAACACTAAACCTTGTGAGTGCTTGTCTAGCTTGGGGGGTGGGCAGGCATAACAACAACGTATAAGATCATTCGCATATGGCCGGTGGTTCGGGGGTTTGGACTTATAACCCTACTTATAACTACCCCTGAACCTCCAAGGAGACTTAAACCCTATACCGATACCCTTATAGAATCCCTATAGATCCCTTTAAAGGAACCCTTGAAGGAACCCTTATAACTACCCCTGATACTCCAAGCAGCTTGAGGTTGAAGGACGCCGGCGCCTTTCGCTGTCCCGCCAAGGCCGCAGTTGCAGTGGCAGAGTCTGCCTTAAGACAGGTGGGGTCCACCCATAGGCCCCAAAGTAGCTCCTGTTTGGGGCTACCTTCTACGATTCTAAATATGAAGCCCAAAAAGGAACTACTTTGAGGTTGGGACCGTGCGGTGGAGGGATTAGGGTTTAGGACCGTTCGGTTTAGGGTTTAGGGTCTTGGGTTTGGGAAGTATAGGCTTACAGGTTTAAGGGTTCGGGGTTTGGGGATTTGCTGAGGGTTTGGGGCTTGGGGCTCAGGATCTTGGGGTATATTATTGGTCTAGTCCGAGGCTTCGGGCCGTTTACTCTGCCGAGTATGATGGTGTGGCGGTGGTGGTCGCCATTGTGGTAGCAGCCAGTGTACTGCTAGTACTGTTACTACTCTACTGACACGTGTAGCAGCCTTGAGGCACATGCAAAAACCGAACTTAACAAGGCATCCGCCTGCACCAGAACTTCGAGGACCAGAGCCAAGCCATCGCGAATGTCGTAACCCAAAGGACCGGCATAGTGACCCAACTAGAGATCACAAGTTCTAGAACCCATATTATAGTATCTTGTAGTCGTATACCTTGATATTTCGGGCACGCAAAGTCAAAACCCTGTTGAGTCGAACTCAGGAATCCACCAAGCGACCCCGAAGCAAACTGAAAGTCCCGTGAATGAGTCGGTTGAAGGAAATGGGGCGAGCTTCGTATGATGTGTGGTTTGGGGTTCTATATTGGGATCCCTTCCTTTCTCAAACTCCCATTCTTGCCCATATCCGTAAGCCTTGAAGCAAGTACGACCACCGAAGTTGCCGTCGGTTCCTAACGGTAGTACGATCGTCCTCAGATCGCGATGGCAAACCCCAGAAATCTAATCATCCAGGACAGCCAGGTGACCGAGGGGGCAGTTCCGCCGAGCGCATCCTCGTACCATGCGCTGACCTGCAAGGTCATCGCAGCGCAGGCATCACAGGGTGAGGATTTGGGAAGGCTGAGGTTCCTTTGGCTTAAGGGCTACCGGTTACTAGGGCCATGTGCATTCTTCGTGATGATTTACGCTACAATACAAACCTTGTACTATACAATTTATGCTGATACTACCCTGCATCCCTGCTCTAGACCTACATCGGACGGGTCAAACCAACCGCACCTGAGATTTAGCAAACGACACATCATGAGGTCTAAGCCATATCCCACCCAGCCTGGTTCCAGTTGACCACATCCCACCATGCCTTGATGTAGTCCGGGCGACGGTACTGGTACCTGTTCTGGAGCTAACTGTTCAGTGTTGAGTACATCGCTGAAGCAATCGACAGAAAGGGGATTGGAAAGCCAAAATCAGAACAATGCTCTCCGGTGGCTAGACCAGTCGGCAGCAGGATGCTCGAAACAGGGCCCAGCAAATCAAACACATCCCACAACCGTAGGCCGTAGGCCTGTCACCCAGACGGTAGAGCGAGCATGCGATCATCCACATGAAAGAGCATCCCTAAGCCCTACGCGCTTAACCCTCTAAGATCCTCATAACTGAAACCTCCAATCCATGAAAAGAAAAAGCCTGAAAGCCCTCAACGGGACCAAAGTCTCACTTCTTGCTCTAGGCAGTAGTGCAGAACGGCACCCTGTCGCCTCCCAGAGACCCAAGTATGTTTAACAAGCGCCCTAAACCGACATCCCCTATAGGAACCGCGACAGAAAGGGCCATTGCAGGATCTGAAGCGACCTGATTCCATTCTGAATGCTCCACAACCTCTAGACCCCAAGCCCGAAACTCAAAGCCTCTAGATCAGGTCAGAGGGGCTTCAGGTAGTAAGCGTGCTCCCAGACATCGCATCCCAAGATTGGGATGCCGGCGGTGCCTTGGGCAGAGGGAACATGCTAAGTCTGCGAACGGTGCATGCCTGCAGGCAGGCAGGTAGGTAGACAAACGGGAGCAGTAACTGGCCGTCAAGCCCGGGGGAACCGGGGAGTATACCCGTGCATCTCTCTCCGATCCAAATAGCCTAAACCTCCCTAGGACTCGAGAGCCAGCCACGGGACCGTCCACTCCATCCATGAGTGGGTTGTCCTGGTTCGGGGTAGACGTGATCGCCAGCTTCCTCGTCTCGGGGCTGTCTTCAGTTGTGGAGGCTTATGGCAGATGAAAAATCCTTACCTCAGCAGGCACTTGAAGGTGTATGTTTGCGGGTCTGCAGCTTGAGTATGGCAGGGTGTCACACCGGTGCCTAAGCCCTAAAGCCTAAACCTCAGGACAACGAACCCTGCAATACTGGGAAGAAACTTCCACCACATCACGGACGGTTTAGGCTTTGGGCAACCCGAAGGTCTACAATGTATGGGGCCTTAATAACTCGAATAGGGTTCTCACTAGAAGTATAGTGTAGTGGCTATAATTATAGTGTCATGGCTATAATTATAGTGTAATGGGCCCCGAAACCCGATTCTAATTGTTAAGGCCCCTACTCCCTCAACCTTCACAGCATCACAGGAGGGATGTCGGACCGTTCTTTGAAACGCGCACTCAGGAAACAAGTCACTTCTGTGCTTACGGACCTACGGATCTCAACGAGGTCCAGTTTGCGCCTGAGGGCTGTCAGGTTCATTCATGGCTTAGCATAGCAAATGCTGAATCGTTCTAGGACTGGTGGTGCGGACCTTTCCGTGGTTTGTTGGTTTAGGGCTCTTATCTACCCATAGGCTCCATAGTAGTTCCTTTTGGGGTTTCCTATTTAGCATCCTATACAAGGTAATCCCCAAAAGGAACTACTATGGAGCCTCTGGGTACCAAGCAACAACAAAGAAGCCTCGCAAAGCACCGAAACCCAAAACTCGCCAACGCGGCAGCCAGGAGCCCTCAGACACAAACTAAACCCTGAGCTCTAAAATGGGGTTGGGGGTATATTATAACTATAGTTATAGGAGGGTGCCCCGAAACCCGGTGATGATTATTAAAGCCCCTTCATTAAACAAAACCCTGAGCTCTAAACTCTGCTGGTTTCGGGTCGAAGGCATCCTCTTCTCCAGGTGCACAGATGAGGGGTACAGGGTGGTTGAGGGGTGCTCGGGTGTTTAGGACCGTTTGGGGTTTAGGATTTTCTGGATTCTCTAGGACATAGACATTCATACGGACTTAAAACATTCTCGCTGGGGAATGCTGGGAAACTCCCTGGTCGCGATGACCCAAACACAAAAAGATTCCGTCAACAAAAACGGACAAAGCCCTGTGTTGCCTGGCAGGACTGTGGAAACAAATCATAAGATTGTTGTAGAATTGCTGAATTGGAAAAATGCTTTCAAAAAACTGTCGAACATTCGAGACCTGCCGTCGGCAGCACACCTTGGGGAATGACCTGTTCTCCTTTTCGTGGTAGCCAGCCCTAGACCGTTCATGCACCTGCTTCGATTCGGCAGAGCATCTTGTCATCGGTGACCACCAGCCACACCTTTGCTAGGCACTTCTGCTACAGTAGCTGGCCGATTTGAAAGATCAGGGTGAGCAATTTAAGCTTCAAGGGCCTTAAGGCCCCTTTACGGATTAATGTAGGTCTTCGGGTAAACACCTAGCAGGGCCCTTGCCTATACACCTGCATAGTACCCCCTTCTAGTACCTTGATAGCCACCCTGTCCGTATCCTCTACAGTGAGCCCGAGAAGCCTCTGGGTTTAGGGCTCAGGGTACCTGGTTGGGTGCCGAAGGGGCTCTGGGGCGGAACTCTGTGCCATGTCTGAAAGTGCTGGGATCATTGCGAGAATGTCCTGGTTTCATGATCTAAACCGTAAACCCCCAGATCCATGCCTTCACCACACTGCGCTCTACAAGCTTCTATATGTTCGGATGCGCTCTCGCACCCAGCAAGTGCTCGGATGTATCTATCTTCAAACCTAAACCCTAAACCACAGAACACCAACCAAAAACCCTAAAAGCCGATCGAGCTGCCCAGCCGGAGCCGAAACGGGCACCCGGAGCACCGGCCGCCTCGAACTGGGCCTGCGAGAAGTCAGCATTGTTTATGCTGCGCCCCAGGCCCTAAACAAAACCCAACAATAAACTTTAGAGGGCTTTAGAGCAGTATCAGTAGCAGCTGACGGAGGGCCACAGCATACCACAGCGTATGCATCTCTTTAGTCACTGGCCAAGAAATCCCAATACCCCTTAATTGAGGAGTATACCATAAATCATGTAATATTAAGGCCCCTAATTTAAGGTATATTCCTTGGGTTCTCTGGGTGGCCTTGAAGTCGTCGAGGGAGCCAAAGGACTCGTCGATGGCCTTTGCCAGCTTGTCGGAAGGTGCACCACCCTTGCCGGTGGGTGCCATCTCCTGGTTCAGGGGTTTAGGGGTTTAGGGTTTAGGGGTTTAGGGTATAGGGGTTTAGGGTTTAGGGGTTTAGGGTTCAGGGGTTTAGGGGTTTAGGGGTTTAGGGTTTAGGGGTTTAGGGTTTAGGGGTTCAGGGGTTTAGGGTGGGTTTAGGGTTTAGGGTTTAGGGGTTTAGGGTTCAGGGGTTTAGGGTTTAGGGTTTAGGGGTTCAAGGGTTTAGGGTTTAGGGTCTAGGGTTTAGGGGTTTAGGGTGAACTGCGAGTGCCACAGCGGTTTTGGCAATTAGGCTCTTGTATATCTTACTATATTATACTATAGAATACTATTATACTATACCATACTATACTATACTACAGACTACGATACAACACCTACTATTAGGCATTAGGGTCAGGCTGCGGGACCTTGCTGCGGAAGGTTGAGGCTTTCACGGTTCAGGCTCGGCAGGATGTGGTTGATGAATCCGGGCTGCCACACTGTTAGGCCCAGGGGACTTAGTAAGTAGGTTATAAGTAGGGTTATAAGTACCCGAAATGGAGCTACCCCAATTATAACTCTACCTATAACCTACTTACTAAGTCCCCTGGGCCTCTAAGCACACCATCAGTAAACTAACCAAGCTGAGCAATCGGTCGGCCACCACTGTTAGACGGATCACGTTGGTACCAAGGACCTTGCTTTGTGAAGCAGTCACGACAAACTACAATACCGTAAGAGTCCTCTCTAATCTAGGCTGTTCCTGCCGGCATCATCCACAATCCAGGGCCCGCAAACCTTTACCCTTCTTGCAGGTCTTTTCGTAAGGAGTTGCAGGCATTGAGCTCGATTTCTCTGAGCTAAATGCCCTGCATCGTCGACGTTTCCCTACTTGCAATACCACGATCGCTACTTGCTGCTCGTGATACGACGACGACCACGACCACGACCACGACCACGACCACGACCACCACCACCACCACCACGACGACTACTACTACGACTGGCGGAGAAAGCAATAAGTAAAACAATACAAGCCAATGGCAATAGTAATATGTCATTATGGCCAACATCTAGCTTTCGACTTCGATCCCTGGCCCTTCCAACGACTACAAGCGCTAACCCTGAACCCTAAACCCTAAAGCGTGGTCGGCCGGAGTCCAGCCAGAAGAAGTTGTGGTTGTAAGCGCCGCCGCCGCTGTTGCGGAACGCCGCGCCGTCCTCGAGTCCAAGGTTCTAAAAAATGCATTGGCGATTATATCACCTTATTCGTATTAACATGATTATTGGTGCTTTAATACTATGGTTGTTATCATCATTAATACTGCTGTTACCAGTCTTTGTCTTCATTCTTGCTATTACCATAAATACTGTTGTTACTATTATCATGATTATTGTCTTTATTGCCATTTGGACTGATTTGCTTCGGGCCGGCCTTGATGGCCGTCTTCTGCAGCTCGACGAGGGGAGGCTGGGTCTTCCCCTCCAGGGCCTGCGGACGCTGCTCCAAGGGTTTAGGGCTTAGGGAGTTTAGGGGGGGCTCCTTATTATAGTTATAGTTATAGTATATATATATATATATATATATATATATATATATAATTAATATACCCCAAAACCTATTCTAATTTTTAAGGGGGGGGGTTAGGGGGTTGAAGGGGGTTTGGGAGGGTCTGGGGAATATCAAGCAATCAAGCGCCTCCTGTGCTTAGGCTTACGAACAGTATTGCGCCACAGCACCGCGCACGGTGAGTTAGCTTTGGGGGTTGATCCATCACCCATGAACGATTCCTAACTAGCAGAAGTGTGACTCGACAGTTCAGATGCTTGGCAAGCCAGCATCTGGCGTGGACAAGCCTTGTTGATGTTCGTCACGTAGGTCAGGTGATGCTTGTCCTCGGCAGCATGGGCGATAAAGATGGCAAGCTGCTGAACCCCTTAACTCCTCAGATTCTAAAATCCTAAACCTCAAGCCTTAAGCCCATCGCGCCCCAGCTCGTCAAGCCTTCCCACCCCAAACCCTAAATCGCAAACCTTATAAAGCCTAAACCCCAAACCCTAAACCTTAAACCCTTGTAAACCTTATAAACCCCAAACCCTAAACCTTAAACCCTTGTAAACCTTATAAACCCCCAACCCTAAACCTTAAACCCCAAACCCCAACAAACCGGTGCCAAGGTGCATGGTGAAACTCCATAGTCGCCTTGTCGATGGAAGGCTCCAACGCATCGTAGGCATAGGGCAGATCCGGGAGCTCGTAGGCCTTTCGGTGCCGTTCCCGTGAAGCTTAGGGTTTAGGCCCCTAAACTCCTGAACCCTAAACTCCTTTAAAGGCCCCTAAACTCCTGAACCATAAAGTCCTGAACCCTAAACTCCTTTAAAAAAAGGTTACCCAAAACTCCTTTAAAAAAGGTTACCCAAAACTCCTTTAAAAAAGGTTAACCTAAAATCCTTTAAAAAGGATACCCAAGGGGCACCTGTGCAGAGTCTAAGCCGACCAGGCCAGCCAGACCAGAGGCCAGGCCGGCAGCCAAGTGACGCCTTCCACTCGCGGGGAGCTGTTTACTTGGGGGGTCTTTAAAGGGGATTCTAAGGGCTCCTTTAAAGGGATCTATAAGGGTAGTATAGGGTTTAGGGTTGGGGGGTCGGGGGACTTAGTAAGTAGTTTGTAAGTAGACTTATAAGTACCCTAAAAGGGACCCTAATTGGGGTTATGGTACTTATAAGTCACGAAAATAACCAGTTACTAAGTCCCCCGACCCTCCAAGTAGGGTTTAGGGGTCTAGGGTTTGGGGTTTATAGGGTCTAGGGCGCCGAGGGTTTAGGCTTTAGGGGGGGTGCATTAACATAGGCGCCGTAATGATTAGACTAGGGTTTGTTGTTGATAGTATAGATCGAATAGGCAGTCGTCTGAAAAATATTAACTTAAGCTTCTGTATAAGGGGCGTTTGTGGATTAGTGAAAAGTGATAAAGCCAAGGCCCTTGTGACCCACGTAACTCATGCATACATAATCATACATACATTCATGCATACATACATACATATATACAGCAAGTCCCGTGGAGCCTTGTGGCCGCAGACTCCGGAGCAGGGGTCAAGAAAGCCAGGTCAACGCACTGCCAAACCAGCGCGGCCTTGGGATGCCGTCAGGAACTTGCAGAGTTCCAGGGTCTACGTGGAAGAAGATGGCAAATAGAAAGCTCTAAGAGCGATGAAGCTGATGATGGCAGTGATGATGATATCAGATATCAGGAGGAGGGGAGGAGGAGGGGAGGAGGAGGGGGGAGGAGGGGGGAGGATCGGGATCGGAGCATGACGATCATGATTATGGTGAAGCTGGTCATGACGATGGTGATGTTGTTGATGATGACTGTGGTGAAAGTTACGATGTTGATGCCAGGGATGAAGATGAAGAGATGGCGCCACGGACGATGATGACGACAGCGAACACACACAGCAACACATATTACAGTATGATAATTCTGCTCCTACTGCTGCCGATGAAGATGATGATGAGGAGGGAGCAGTGGTGATGATGACAGTGCTGAGGAGAGTTTCGATGATGATGATGATGGTTATGATGATGATGATCATGGTTATGATGCCAGCAGTCAAATGATTGTATCAGTCAAAAACTAACTCGGTTTTACCGAGTGTAAGGAACCAGACCATGTCTCACCGCGACTCCTGTCTCTTCGCAAATGAAGATGTTCGACGATTGCAGAAGCTGGTACTTTTTTCATTGTATTGCTGCTGCTCACCACTCAACTAAAAAATCCACTACCGTCACTCCTGAACCTTTCCCCCGCGACGCAAGTGGTAAATGCACAAATTGTGAATCTGGCTTCCTGCATATCATATTTATCTAAAAGCATGCCAGATCACGGCCACTGCCAGGGCTAAAATGCCACGGACTCGGCGCGCCATTGGTCGGTTGGGGCGGTGGGGAGATGAGCTGCAGGCTTTCGGCGAGGACGCAACGGCTGCGAACAATCCGGAAAGAGTTTGGTCAAGGTGCTCTGTCAATGACGACGACGGCTACAACGACTAATACCTCCTCCCGCTCCACGTGATCCTCGTCCCCATCCATCCTCCTCGTTACTATAGCTGCACCACACCAAAAACCCCTTAAACCCTAAACCCTAAACCCCTAAACCCTAAACCCCTAAACCACAGCCCCTATCGCCGAAGTGCCTCTAATTTCTCGGCGCCTGGCCCCTGGTGCTCTCTTAGGGTCCCTTCCCAGTTGCAGCCTCCAGGTCCAGCTCTGCCCGAACGATGTCGTAAGGGTTGTCCCAGGTCCTGGCCGGCATCGTCCTACGGTTTCAGGGTTTGGAGGTTTGGGGTTCTACCTTCCGTATTTTGTCCTTTTAAGGCCGAAACTCGTTGGGAACTGTTGGTCGGGGCGGCGGAAATGCGAAATTTGGTTTCGCTGGGAAGTGGGTTGACGGCATTCATGCTATTCAAGCTCGTGGCTGAGGGTTTGCAGGGCTGTAGAGTTGTGTTCGAAAGATGGTGCAACCATCAAACCCCTGCCACGCCGTTGCTGATGTATAGCAAACCACAAAAGTTCCTGAGCACTTCAAACACGTATAACTATAATAAGGAACCCTCCAAAATATTGGAAATTATGATTTTACTAGGCCCCTGAATTACGACCTAAACCCTCGGGGTTCCGGAATGCTCTCGCAAACGCAACTGCCGCAACTCCATCTACGTGGGCGTCGGAGATCCAAATCCCGATGAGATTGGCCGAGCGTCGTCTGGCGCGTCTCAATGTGGAAGTAGTAGGACCTTCGGGAAGCTTCATTGGTTTTTTTTGAAAGTGCAATGGCTTCTTTCTGTGCTTGGCGAACAAAGCTGCAGAGAGTAGCATCTTCTTTGGGTTTAGGCGGTTTAGGGTTTAGGATCTGCCCAGAGCATGGCAAAAAATGAGCAACTTCACGAGTTCGAAGCGGCATTGCTGCAAGCACGTAACAGCACGCATCCTGCAAAGGTGAAGAAGTACATGGTTACGTCTAAGACGCAACCATGTACGTCTATTTATATGTGTCGATGCGCGCACATGCATGCACATGTATATATATATATATATATATATATATATATTAGATATGTACATACAAATCGACATACATAGTGTACATGTACATACACACATACATACATCCGTACATACGTACATACACACATTCATGCTTACGTAAATAGTTACAGACACACATACAAACATACATACATGCGTACATACATACATACATACATACGTCTGTATGTGTATATATATATATATATATATATATATATATACATACAATACATACGCCAGACGCTGCAGAGCTAAAACGTGCGCGCCCCGAAAACCTGCGCCCAGCCGTCCAGTGTGCAGGTTCCAACTCTCAAAGGTTCCAACTGCATTATAATAAGGAGCCCCCAAAAGGTAATTATTAAGGCCCCGATATTATAGTACCCTTTTTGATCCCTTATACTTATACCGATATAGTAGAATGTAGGGTTTCCATATTAGGAATTACTATTATGACTCAGGGAAGTATCCCCCATAACAGTACATATGGACCCTTTGGGGTTTCAACTCTTTTTATGTGTATCGCGCACTGTTATATCATATCTCTGAGTCGACCTGGCTGTCCACTGTTCACTGTTCTCCGATCTATACAAACTTTACCCAGCTCATGTTGAAGTACAAACTTCACGAGGAACTCTCAAACAACCGCAAAACAAAGAAAAAGAGTCCACGGGTTCGGGGTCACAAAGAAAAAACAAGTAGCTCCCAAATGACACAGCTGACAGCTAATACAGGCTTACTATAATTAGAATAGAGTTTTGGGGCACAATGTACTATAATCATAATAAGGAACCCCCACAACAGTATAGTAGGTAATCATGCCCCTATATTATAGTACCCGTATAGATCTCTTATAGTAACCCTTGTAGACCCCTTTTAAAGGAACCCTGTAGGTAAGTATTTAGGCCATTACCCTGCTCCCGCCTGCCATTTGGAGCCCCCACCTCTCTCCAATTCTGGAGCTCCGCCTGCGCACAGGGTTCCTTTAAAAGGGGTCTACAAGGGTTACTACAATATAGGGGGGGGCCTTAATAGTTGCCTACAAAACTATTGCGGGGTTCCTTTAAAAGGGGTCTACAAGGGTTACTATAAGGGATCTATAAGGGTACTATAATATAGGGGCCTTAATTTGGGGGGTTCCTTATTATAGTTATGGCAGAAGGGATCTATAAGGGTACTATAATTCAGGGGCTTTAGTAGTTACCTACTATACTATAAGGGATCTATAAGGGTACTATATGACATATAGTACCCTTATAGATCCCTTATAGTATAGTAGGTAACTATATGAGATCGTCGCAGTGCATTAAAGGACAGCGACGAACCCAGGGGCTCCATAGTTCAGGGGCTTTAGGGGCTTTAGGGGCTTTAGGGTTTAGGGTTTAGGGGCTTAGGGGCTTAGGGTTTAGGGTTTGGGGGTTTAGGGTTTAGGGGCTTTAGGGGCTTAGGATTTAGGAGTTAGGGGTTTAGGGTTCAGGGGTTAGGGTTTAGGTTTTAGGGCTTAGCATAGGCTCCATAGTAGTTCCGTTTTGGTGTCCATATTTAGAATCCTATAGGGTAATCCCAAAAAGGAACTACAATGGAACCTATGACTAGCAGCAGAATCACAATTTCTGCCCCCTGAGGCCGGAAAGTCCGAGAACCGCAGAGACCTTGCAGCTTCCGGCCTCTGCTTGCACCGCCAGCGCCTGAAGCCTGTGCTGTCATAGCAGTTTAGATCCCGTGATCAAGGAATATACTTCAAATCATAGTAGGGACCCCTAATTCATGTTAGGGACCCCTAGTTCATATTAGGGGCCCCTAGTATGACTTAAGGTATATTCCTTGATTAAGAGGTCATGGAGTCTCCGGGCTTCTGCTTTCAGGGCAACGGCAAAAGTGACAAGGCTCCGGGCTTGAGTATGTAGGCGTCCGTCCTACCCCCAGATCCCCGAAACCTCGACCCTGGAAAGCTTCGTATCACAACGACATGAACCCTGATTCCTAAACCCTAAATAAACCCTAAACCCCAAACCCTACAGTGACCCTAAACCTAAACCGCAAACCCCAAACCGAACATGTCATGATCAGGCCCGGCGCGGGAGCTCCAGGTAGGCTTTATGAACTGTAGAAGTCTTCGATGGGACTGTGATTCTAAAGGTAAACAGCTCGCATTGTCATTATACGGCGACATGTCAGGTAATGACCTCCACTAGAGTAGTGAGGATCCTAGACACGGGTACCTGCTGAAGGCTTATTGGCTGTTACCCTAAGGGTCCAAATACCTAATTATCCTATACTCTCCAAAATGGTAACCTACATAACTACTATCCTAAAACCGAGTACCTAATTATTGGGTCCTTTGGACCCTTGGGGTTAGCTCACTGACTTGTGCAATTAATACGGCAGGGGAGGCACCGGAAGATGACCAAAGTCCTTCTTGGGGGGCGAGGGGACTTAGTAAGTAGTTAGTAAGTAGACTTATAAGTACCCTAAAAAGGACCCTGCTTGGGGTTATGGTACTTATAAGTCCTTAGAATAACCAGTTACTAAGTCCCCCGACCCTCCAAGTTCAGCATTCTGAACCTAGAAAGCAGAACACAAGTAATATAGGGGCCATGATAAGTAGAATAAGTAGAATGGGGTTTTGGGCCATATAATATTAAAATAACTTATAACTATAACCAGGAACCCCAGGAAGAATATTGGTAATCATTAAAGCCCCCATAGTAATGACTGTCGAGAAGCTGTTTCTCCGCGGCGTCGCTGCGCTGCGACTCGGGGAAAGAGTCCTGGGTCTCACGGGGCTGTAGAATAGGTGAAGTGGATGTACATGGGAGTTTCCGAAAATTAGGGGTACTTTATTTTGGGGTCCTTCTGATAAGGATCCTACTATTCAGGCTACTGCATTAGGGCCCCCTATTTTCGGAAACTCCCAGGTGAAGTGGATGTACCATGCTGCTATAAGCTATCGCTAATGATACCCTGCAGGAAGGTGCTTGCGGTCTTGCGCGTTCTGGCGAAACGGGATCCAACATGATCCAAGGGTTTCTATGCCTCAGAACCGTCGGACCCCAGTCGCTGTAAAGTGACACGGTACGGGTCACTTTGCCGAGCGATTGAAGAATGCTTTGGGGTTTAGGGTTTATGGGGCTGAGGGTCAAGCAACAATCCCAAACACATCAAAGGAACCTTTGCTGGCTGCAGCCTAGTTAACAGGTTTCGATTGACGCTCAAGCACCAAAGGCCGATCCCGGGCTTCAAGGAAATGCGATGATCCATCGAACACGAACCATCCTAGCTTGGCGCAACATAGGGGCCTTCATAATTAGAATAGGTTTTTTGGGGTCTATTCTACTATACTAACTATGTAATGGGGAACTCCCAACTAGTATAGGTAGTTGTGAGAGCCCCCATATTATAGTGTCCTTATAGATCTATTATAGTAGCCCTTATAGGCCCCTTTAAAGGAAACCCCCGAACATAGTAGTATGAAATTATATCAAGGCACCCAAACTAGAGGAGTCTTCCGGAGGCTGAGAGCCCGAACCACCCAGCGGTATGCCTTGATGATGGCGTGGTGCGCACGGAGCAGAGGGTGGGACCACCTTGGAGGATCCCAAAAAACAGGGCGAATCACAACCGTTTCGCGAGCGTTTATGCATTATATGGGAGTTTCCGAAAATAGAGGGGTACCTCATTTTAGAGTCCTTATAATAAGGATCCTACTACTATTTAGGGTACTATGATGTACTATGTTAGGGTCCCCTGTTTTCGGGAACTCCCCTATCATGGGACGAATGCTGGTATTTAGACCAAGAACCTACATGACAAAGCATGACAAGGCAAAAGCAGACCGTTTTCAGTTACAGCAGTCAATGGCAAGCGCGATAGTCGAGCCAAACTTCAACGAAGACATCACGCAGCAGGTGGTCTTAAGCAAGCGGCTCAGAAGTCATCGTACATGTTCCTGCAACTATAGATTATACCAACCTTAGAACCATAATGACAATAATATCTTTAATATTGTCTAAAAAATTCATAAGGAGACTATAAGGAGACTATAGTAGAGTCTGAGCTAACCTCCAGATGACGGATTCCAGGCAGAACTCAGCCTGCTTTGTCCACGTGACCCCATACTTGCTCCCTGAATCCTAAACCCGAAAGCTACACCCCAAACTCCAAACCCAAAGTTCTAAACAACAAATCACCAACCCTAAACCCCAAGGCCTAAACCTTGAACAACAAACCCGAATCTCAAAACCCGAACCCTCACTCAGTTCCTGGCGACGGAATCTTTGTCCGCTCGTTGTAGAAGTAGACCCTCCACTGATCATCAAGGCACCTGGGCTTGGTAAAACACGGTTTAGGGCTTAGGGGTTTAGCGTTTAGGGGTTTAGGGTTTAAGGCTTTAATCACTAATTACAGAGGTGCTGCATCCTAGCCCCCAGGCCTGAATTTCAGGGAATACACACTCGACCTCGACCCAACATGTGGGTGGTTGTCAAAATTATGGTCCCTTTTTGGGTACCCTAAATATTAGGTGCCGTATTATGATAAGGACCCAAAAAGGGACCATAATTTTGACAACCACCCATGTCAGCTCGGGATCATGCTGACGCAAGCGCTGCGGGCACTCAGTTCTCCGATGAGATGGAGTGTGCAGAATTGCCATCGCTTGGGGGGTCGGGGGACTTAGTAAGTAGTTAGTAAGTAGACTTATAAGTACCCTAAAAGGGACCCTAATTGGGGTTATGGTAAAATAGCCAGTTACTAAGTCCCCCGACCCTCCAAGCGGTGGTTGATCCACTATGCGGAACAAGCACGCTGACAGTCGGAGTTCTTAGATCCATGAACCAAAATTTCTGCAGTATTCAGGACAAACTTCATCAAAATCAACAACATCATCATCACATAGCCATCATCGTCATCGTCGTCGTCATCGTCATCCGCAGCAGCAGCGGCAGCATTGCCAGCATCAGCATCGGTCTCACCACCTCGACGTGTATTCGTGATATCCTGACCTCTTCCTCGATGCATGCCTGCGCCTGTGCCATGACCACTCCCATCAACACGATGTTCATCTGCGCCAGAATCAACCGTCCTTATGGTTCATGAACATGATGTTCATCGACGCCGTATTCAATCGTCCTTATGGCCATGGTGGCGACTGTGCTGAGTATTTTCGGCGTACGAAGCCCATGTTGCGTAGAGTATGCATGCGTGCCTGAAAAGCATGTCAATGTATGTATGCATGCCCGCCTGCATACTGCCAAACACAAACGCACACACACACACACAGACACACCAACACGCACACAGACAGACACACACACACACACACACATGCACGCATAAACCGTGCAGTCGTATGCACACATTTGCATAGCAAGGTACACAGACACATGTAGGGGTGCGTAAGTTGAGCCATCCATCCATCCATCCATCCACCCAGCCAGCCAGCCATCCATGCACCCAGCCACCCAGCCAGCCAGCCAGCCAGCCATCTATCCACCATCCATCTAAGCACACATACAGGAAGTGTACTCCTTCGCGACTTTAATTCCGTCGTCCGTCCGTCCCTCCCTCCCTCTATCCATCCGTGCACATGTACCTACATACAGACATGCACACAGACCTGCATGTGCATTGGCGTGTGCCCATTCCCTGGTGCTTGCCGCAGTCCGAGTCGCTGTCGCCAGGGCTCAGGGAGGGGAAAAGCCAGCATGCGCCTCTCGAGGCCGGTGATTCATAAGGACCCTTCTTGAAGGATCATGGGACTTAGTAAGTAGGTTATAACTGGGGATATAAGTCCCCTAAGTGGGGTTATCCTACTTATAACCTTACTTACTAAGTCCCATGAGCCTTTAAGTTAGGGGGTAGGGAGAGGGGGGGTAGGGGGCCTTAATGCCCATAATAAGGACCCTAAAAAGGCCTGTTTCATTAAGGAAGTATAGTCCCCTAAGCCCCTCCCCCCCCACCCCCCCAGCTGGCCTATGAGTGATTGGCAGGGTCTTCAGCCACACACCTTGCCTCTTGTTCTGGCGTTTCGGGGGTTAAGTCCACCACGGTTGCAACACCCCGATTGCGTAGAAATTAACTGCTCCGGGCCCCCTACTGTATGCCCTATTCCTTGGGCCAATTGAATGGTAGGTGGCTGCATGTACTCTTTGCTCCAACACCTCACTCAGCAACGCCAACGCTTCGTTTAGTACGTCTGGAAGCTCCACTGGAAGCGGTTCTGGGCAGGATCATGCAGGATCCGGTTTCAGGAGCGGCTGCAAAAAGAGCTGTAAACGCCGTGATTGCAACCCTCGTCCAGCCTCGCAATCTTGAGCTCCAAGACTAGCAAGTTCTGTTCTTGCGAGAGACCAAGTCAGGAGAACTTCCGCAGACTTGGTTTCTCGCGAAAACAGACCTTCCTATCAAAAGTCTTTCCACAGACGGAGTTTGGGACGGCGACGCCAGCAGGTGTCACTGCAATCCAACTTAAAGGTTAAGAAAACGACGGAGTTCGTCCTCCTTGCCGCAGAGGAAGCTGTGGCCGTTTCCTTCGCCTTAATACTGGTCATAGCCCTCGTGCTGCTGAGAGCAAACATGTTTTATTTGTGGAGAAACCTGCACCTTCCCATTCACCTGTCTGCTCCCGACGCTGGCGCCGAGCTCAATCAAGCGCTGCTTCTCCTGGTCATTCTTGTCGAAAGGAAAGGTGGACCCGGCACGAATCACGAGACAACAACCTGGTCTCCAGTTGTCGTGGCCACTTTCCTTTCTCACGTACAGCTGCCTTGCAGCCCCCCGGGTCCAGAAGGACGCGCTCGTCTTCCTGCAGGACCGCATTGCATGCGACTGTTCCTGGAGAAGTGCCGGATGTAAATACTGGCTTCCTCCGCTGGTAGGAGGAAGCTGCCCATCAAGCTGTTGCGGCCATATTGCCGCGAAGGCTTCATGAGCAGCTTCCTCCTTGCTGCACTGTTGTGCAAGACGCTGTGCAAGCTTCATCGGCAGAAACTGCTTCTGGCCTTCTCGCCTCCATGACATTCGAACACAGCGAAGCAAGCATGTCCCGTGACGTTTTCGCTCATGGATAATGCGTCTGGTGTCCGCGCTATGGCAACCCGTGCTGAAAATTTCCATCCGACGTGAATTCCGGAAGCAAGGACGGATCTTTCAACATCAGCCAGTTTTGTGGATTTGGGAAGATTTTATCTCGCGACAACGCTGGCTGACGTTGCCCGAGGCTCACACGCAAGCTGTCAAAACTGATTGAAGCCAATGCGCAGAGGTAATTACTTGCCCAAGCAGAGAGCCTTCCTTACCCATAGGCCCCAAAGTAGTTCCTGTTGGGGATCACCTTATAGGATTCTAAATATCAACCTCAAAAAGGAACTACTTTGGGGCCTATGGGTATCCATGAAATCGTTGGAAAGTCTGGCGACTGCGTGTTCCGAGGCATGTCACAGCTTCGTGCTGAACTCAATGGTCTGGTTTGACAGGGCAATGCATCGTGAAAGAATCTTAGGGTACATGCCCGAACCATTCAGCCCTTATCACATCCGGCTAAATCGGTACTTCTGCAGCCAGCTAAACGATCAGTTGCAGTCATGTCAAGACTAGCATTCAGCTAGGATGCATCAGGTTAGTATGAATACATCAACAACACAAGATGATAACAAGTTCTGATCTAAACCTTACAAATATGACTCATGATGATCAGATGATGAATACCAGGGCTCTGGCTGTACAACATCGAAAAGCAGGACTTCCCTCTCCGGCTCCACGCCAAGGGCACGCGCATAGTCTGCCTGCCCCGCATAGTTGGGATTTGGGATCGGAGTTTCAGTTTAAAAGGCCTAAGATTAGGGCTGGTTAGGGTCTATAAGGCATGAATTCATTACATAAAGCGCCAGGATGGCGGATGGGATGCGACACGATGCTGCTCGCACATACAAAACGCGTAGTTTGGGAGCTTTGGCGACGCTGCTCTAAACCCTAAACCCTGAACCCTTCTGCCACATGGGCCATCGCGATGACTCCAACCAGCTAAACACTCGTCTACGACTGTTCCCTGGTTTTCTGGAACCTTCTGTGATAAAGTTCCCGAAACCCTGAGCATAGGGGCCTTAACAGTTAGAATAGGGTTTGCAGATGTTTGGGGTATGTTATACTATAATTATGAACCGCCCAAAAATTGTACAGGTAATCGATTAATTTAGGCCCCTATATTAAGCCTGAGCTTGCTAGTTCCGATGCCCCATCGCGCCTTCTGTGCGTCATCCAGACTCCTGGGCTGACAGAGAGTTTCCGGGAGTCGTTTAGGGTTTAGGAGTTGCTGATTTAAGGTGATCAGGCTGTAGAAATTTAGGGTTTAGGATGGAGCTATCTGAGTGGTTGTCACAATTATGGTCCCTCTTTGGGTTGCCTAAATATTAGGTGCCGTATTATCATAAGGACCCAAAAAAGGGATCCTATAATATTGACAACCAGACAAGAATTCTGCAGGCCTGTGCTCCTCGCTGGGAGCCTTTTTGAAGGATCATGGGACTTAGAAAGTAAGGTTGTCGGTACCTTAATTGGGGTTATAAGCAATTATAGGCATAATAGTTACCTGAAAATAACCCTTGTTACTAAGTCCCATGACCCTTTGAGTTCTTGTGGTGCTATCCTCAACAGCTTCCTTCCGGGAGGCATTCTGTTAGCATGCTCAGCTTCGTTCCGTACACGTACCAATTTGAATGCGGCTCTGAGTGATATCACCTAAGCCCTAAACCCCAAACAAGTATTGAATGCGGCTCTGAATTGAATTATATATCACCTAAACCCCAAACCCCTAAACCATCCTAAACCCTTAAACCATACTAAACCCCAAACCCTAAACCCCAAAACCATCCTAAACCCTTGAACCATCCTAAACCCCAAGCTCTAAACCCCTAAACCATCCTAAACCACAACCCCTATACCCCTAAATCATCCTAAACCCTTAAACCATCCTAAACCCCAAACTCTAAACCCCTAAACCATCCTAAACCACAACCCCTATATCCCTAAACCATCCTAAACCCTAAACCAAGCACATACAAAGGAGTCTCGAGTTTCGCGTCAGTACATTGCAGACAGCTGATGACTCAAACCCCTTCGTTGCCAACTCTGATCCTAGAATCTTGAAAAAAACGGCTTCCAAAAAGATTGACACAACAGCTCGCCCCAACAAAAATAACAATGGCGAACACAAACATAAAGAATGTCGCGCCGTTAACATGAAACCAAAGGAAACCGGACAATAACACCCTCCAGCATCAAACAGAAAGAACTTCGAACATCCATGGACCCACTGATCAATCAATCGAGGTTCACGGAGAGGCTCATCGGCACCTTCCGTGCTGAGACACAGATGCTTCAAAACAGGACTTACTATAGGGGCCTTCTGATTAGAATAGGGTTTTTGGGCCCATTTTTCCAAAATTATAACAAGGAGCCCCAAGGAGTACTGGAAGTAATTATTACGGCCCCTATGTTACATTGTCTCGTCGGTTGTCGGTTGTTGGTTGCTGGTTGTGGTTGTTATTGTTGTTGTAGTAGTTGTTGTGGCTACGGCCGTGGTGAAGTCGCTTCCATCGACACAATCACTTCATGCAACTGTGGACTTTACCCTATATTAGTGTATACATCGCCATCATCTTCAGCACCAACTTAAAGAGCGCAACCATCAAAACACGACTCTCGGAATCGACGAGTCTATGCCCCCAGGCACCGGACCCTAATATAGCACCCTAAATAGTAGGATCCTTATTACAAGGACTCCGAAATAAGGTACCCCCAATTTTCGGAAACTCCCAGTTATAAGGCATCAAGACCTAGCTTGATGGAAAATCCTCTCGCAGCCCATCCCTTGACCACTCGGCCTGCGCGAAGCGAGCAGTATCATGGCTTCATCCGAGAAGTAACCCATGCATCATGTCAGCAGTAGCAAGTCCAGGATCTGGGTATCTCGGCGCATCGCAGCTCCGCAGGGGCCTCACTATATAGTGTTGAGAAGTGGGGACTGCGCCTGGTAAGTTCGGAGGTTAAGGGCTCAGGGTTTGGGGTGAAGTGGTGAAGGGCCGCGAAACTGAAATACTAAGACGGAGCGAGGCTTGGCTGAAAGCAAGGGTTGTGATGTTGTGCAGCCGTCGTGGTATCTTTGCTCCGCTGGACCAAATGGGACGCGAGCCGGAAGATGCCCCAGCAGTCGGATGGATGACCAGTTCTGACATAATATGTGTAGTTCTCGAAATGAGGGTCCCTTGTAAGGTTCCGGTAAAACGAGATCCTAATTTATTTGGAGAATATGCAGAATGCTGCCCTTAAGCCGATACTGAATTCGGCATTCTTGCTTTCATAGGGGTCTGACCCTGATTTCCCAGTCCCCTCACATGCTGCGACTCGGTCTCAGGGTCCGGAAGGTAAAACAGCCGCTGGGGGGGTTTGAAGATTTGAAGCTTTAGGGTCTGAGTGTGCAGAATTTCTGTAAACCCCCAGACAAGCAGAGTTCATTACCCGACAACAGCAGGCCACGCAGCACTCAAATTGGAATCAGAACGACATCCTCACAGCATGCACAGTGACACGCTTCATCTGAAGGACGATCTGGGTTTCAATCTGGTATGTCAGGCAGACAATTTTAAACAAGGGAGTCGGATTGCAGGAGGATCCTCATGCTGGAAGTGATTATTAAGATGAGGGTTCGTCGTCGCAGTTCCGATGACAAGGACGACGAAACGACGAAAAAGAGCAGCACATGGCAATGGAGTTCGTCGGGCGTCTCTACTGTCTGCCATCCCAGGGTCAATGTGTCATGTCTCCTGTTTCGCGATCTCATGCACGGCCGACCCTTGGCGATCAGCATCTGCCTCTACGTGAGACTGGCCGAAAATCGTCTAAACATTTGTCTTCGATGCTATCTTGAGGCCACTCTGAAACACGCAAATTTGCACATCCCAGTCCTAAACCCTGGAATGCCTGAACCAGCAAAGCGGCCAAGTTGTTGTGGCTCCTATGGTACGCGCGCTCAAACCCTCACCGAAGACCTCGAATGTTGCAATCTCGCGCCGGCTTGGACATTTCACCGGCCCAGAGACAGACTGCAGCGGGAAGCTTGCCCCTGGCTGTGGAAGACGCGTGGCTGAAACATCTGAAACCTTTTGTACATGGGAGCCAGTTGAGGACAGCAGGAGCGAATAAATTGTCATTACCTTGCAGCCTCTTCAAAAATCGTAGAGAGCATTGTAGCAGTATGATACTGTAAACGGAAGCGACGAGTAGTGACTGAGTAGTGACAACAGCAAAGATCTCGGCAATTGCGGCAAAACGTTGGTGATGCTGTAGTTTCGAGCTCTTTTCCGGTCGTCTCCCTGGTAATCTGCTCCTGCTACATGTAGGTCGAGCTAATACAGGGGCAGTGATAATTAGAATAAGGTCTTGCGGTACATTGTAACATAACTATGGAGGAACACTCGGAAATAGCACTGGTATTTGTTCCGCTTGTATATTACCTTGCAAAGATCAACGATGGCCTGCATGCGTACCGTTTCTACTAGGTGCAGAACCTCTCTCTCGTTTGGTTAGAATCTCAGTCCGATTCTCGTGCCATAATATGGGTACCTTCATAATCCGAATAAGCTCTTGGGGGGCCCGATATACCGTACTTAAGGAACCAAAAATAGTGTAGGTAATTATTGAAGCCCATTATATTACTTCATCAAGTCCCATCCCACCACGGTGGCCCAAGTCTGCCAGAGGCAACTTCTTACTCTGTGTACAAATGTTCAGAGAGCCACTGCTGGTTCACTGCTGGATGACGAGGAAGTGATTCCTGAACCAGGACGCTTTTGGGCTGAAGGTGTAATCGCTTCCCCCTGTTATTAAACCCCTCCCTAATATGAAAACTCCCGGCCCGCATTAGGGGGGTGCTACGATTGTATGAGTTTTAACAAAGCCAAAGATTACAGCTGTACTAAGGACAATAGAGCTTTAGGGTTGAAGGGTTTAGGGCTCAGGGCTTTATAGAGCCAAAGATTACAGCAATACTAAAGACAGCAGAGCTTTAGGGTTTAAGGATTTACGGCCCAAGGCTAAAGTTTTAGGGCTTGGGGCTTTGGGGCTTAAAGTGGGGCTCAGGGCTTTAGGGTTTGGGGCTCGAGGTTAAGGCTTCGGGTTTTAAGTCTTAGGCTGGAGTCTCGGTTTGTTTTAACCCCACTATACCCCACTCATACGTGGATGCACCGAACCGAACCCCCCCTAATATAAAAACTAAACCCCCGAAATCCAGTTTTAATATTAGGGAGCGGGGCGGGGGAGGGGCCCCGGGGGGAAGGGAATAGGGATACTGCCCTAAACGTGAACCCTAAACCGGTAAGGATAGGCACAACAAGCCGCAGGAGCAGAGAGGCCGGCGTGCGGGGGGTTTCATCTTTGTGTGCTTCCGATCTCATGTATGGCTCCAGCCAACCCTAGAGCTATGATTAATCCTAAAGGACGTGAACATTTGGGTGGCAATATCCGGAGAGTCACAACCCGTTAGAGCAACTTTCACAGGTTGCGGTTGCTACATGGGCATTGAATCCCACACTAGTTGATAGTAGTAAGGAGCCCCAAAATAGCATTGGGCATTATTCTGGCCCCTGCAAGACTTTAAGGCCCACTCCGTCATGACAAAACTTAGCAAGTCCAATCTGTAGAACCCAACTACGACGCTTGACGCAACCCCGCACCACCAAAACCCAGGAACCCACCGTTAAACAGTCGTGTTTTTCTATTCCACGGGGCCATTGCTGCGCAATCCCACGCCAAGTTCAACCTAGGAAACCTAGCAACTGGTCGAAGTCTGGGCGGTCGAGAGGCTTGTGGGCCCAGCACCACGTCATGAGCATCTTCAGAGAATCCTCCTGTAGAAACGCCAGGGATGGGCGCAAGCCAGCCGGAACCTGCCGCGCGAGGTATTGGTCCTGAAACCCAGCTTCCTGGTATGGAAACCTGCGGCAGGCAACTTCGTAGAGATAGATTCCGGAAGCGTGGACGTCAATCTTGCGCCGCACGCAAGCTGTTCTGTAACATCACGGAAGCGTTGAAGATCTCCGGAGCCATCCAGGCTGTCGTGCGGACGCCGGCCGAAGCCCAAGCTTCACGTAGATGGCGACATAAGCCGAAGTCGGCCAGCTTGACAGTGCCGCGCCTCAGCGACACGTTCGCCGCTTTTAAATCACGGTGCAACATATGGTGCGTGTGGAAAAACAATCTAAAACCATGCATAAGCTCGCAGTGCCAGCGCACTTGCACGCGCCATACAGGCCCATGGTGTTTTCATGAGCTTGGCCAACGCTGCCGCTTCCTCCCCAAACTGCGTGGCTTCGGCATGTGGAACATGCTTGACCGCCACGGAGGCGCCGTGCCACGAGCCGAGCACTACCTGCCAAAACCCGCCTTGCCCTAGGGCACCATGCGTTTTAATGTCAACCGGGCTGATCACGGTGAGCTCCTGCTGCTTCAAGTCCTGTATTTCTGCATCATTGAACACTGTAAACTGCTGACACTCTGCTGATGGAGGGATCGGCGGCAAGTTGCCTTTCCTCAATGCCAAAGCATTGGGTACGTTGAAAAGCCAACCTGCGTTCCTCAACGTTCACCGTGAAAAGTGTTCCCTCATAGCGCAACCCACTCGTCAAAAGAATGCTGAAGCGCCGCCCAATGAGGTCATTCGCAGCCGTTGCAGATGCATCCCCGGCAGTGGCAATTTGAGGGTAGACACTTTGTTTTGCTTGATGCAACAAAGGACGACTGCCAGCTCGTAGTTTTGACTTTTTGTTTTTGCTCTTCAGGCTGTGGATGAACCTCATCTTCTTGGTCTTCAGTTGCCTCGGACGTGACTGTTCGTCACTGCCGGCCCTGAAGACATCGAAAGCGGCACGAAGCAACTGCAGCGACAGTGTCGCTGCCAGCGGCAATGTGCCCGGCGACACAAATGAAACAAGAACGAGGCCTTCGAGCATTGCTGAAACAAATGCAGCTATGCTGGGGCACTCTGGATTGATCACCGCGCAGGCCGCGTTTGACTAGGATGCCCAAACGCGGATAACCGCTGGAGATTGAATTCACGTGGGGGCCAACATTGAAACACATGAATTCGGCCGCTGTTACCCGCAGTTTCTGACTGTCTGATTGGCAACTGGCTGATGAGCTTTGCGGCAGCCGTAAAGAAAGTTTGGGGCTTATGGCTGAGATGGAGTGTTGGTCCGCCAGCCACAACAAAAATCAAAAAGCGCTGGGCGGTGGTGGTGATAATTAGTAGTCACTAGTCGTCCTCGTCACACTGCACGATGGACATGACAATA